CTATGATTTCCAAGATCCCTACCGGTGACTAGCGTTAATAACATCGCGGACTCCTATGTCACGATCCTCTTCCAACTTCGTAGCTAATACAAGACAAGCTGTAGCAAGTGTCTAAAACTTTGTCTTATTCAACTGTATAGAGCGAAAATTCTTTTCTAACGAGAAAACTTACATACTTACAGACAAGAGAACTGACTTCTCTTGCAAGAAGTCGATGCATCATGATAATAGCAGAGCAAATGGTCTTATTTTTAGCGTTAAGTCGGACACCTTTAAAAAATAATTAATCCGAAGTCTAAGCTAAACCGAGAATTTATTCCTTACCACAACGGATAATATGCTCGTAGATCCGCTTGGGAATATCCTCGGTAACACCGTCCGTCGACATCATGCACACTTTCTCAGTGAGCTGGGAAAACTAATTTACTGAGTGCACGACAAAGCTTCTGAAACTTAGCAGTAGAAACAACCCTTCCGCGGAAAAACACCATAGAACCACATGTTTCTTTTTTCATCTGGTTTGACTTTAAGAGAAATCCAAAGTTTTCAAAATTTCATAAACGTGAGAAACTCTGCATTTTAGGGCATACATGGTTGTGGTCTACTTGTACAAGGTAGTGAAGCAAACATGATAATGAAGAGGCATTATGTTGAAAAAGAATGCTGGCACAATCATTTATATCATAATGATAAAGGGCAGGGCTTGACTAGTAATGCTAGCATTGCTCAGGCTGAACAATCTCGAAAAAGAGGAACGGAAATACAATGGAGTCATACCGCATCAATCAAATTGAAAGAGTTGTTGGAAGACACTTACTGAAAAAAACAATAATTACATTAAAATTTACTACACTATAAGATCCAGCATACCTCCTACTTCTATTGTAAAGATAAAGATTTTTTGGGAAAGCACACTGACTAAATTGATAGTGTATTAGCAACGGGAAAACTGACACATCCTGGCTGAAATAAATATCGAAAGGTCGGGGAAAGGGGAAACAGAATACTTACAAAAGTTATGGCGTTTTTACAAAAACCCGTGAAGTAACCAATTGAATAAAATAATTAAATAGGCATCATGCGGAGAACATCATTCGGTTCAGGCGAATAGAAGTCGAGAGGTCGCATAGGATTATCAAGTTCCACTTGATAGCTCCCTTTATCAAGCTGCATTTTAACATTTGTTATGTCCATCGAAAATACTCTTCCAACCTGTAATAAGACTTGGAAATACAATATCTTCTTTTGCAGAGTGACACACCATTTCGGCCAATTTTTGCACCGTTATCGCGAGTGGCAGACGTCTAGTCACAGTCTTCTCTCCAAAACACACTGCTAGCGACAAAACCTTAAGTCCACAACTTTTCTCTACAGCAGCACCTGTTCCATGAATCTGCAATACAGATCTGAGACTCAGCCCAAGCAAAAAGGTTGCAAAACATGCCTTTGTAAGCCTCTCAATATCCACTAAATGGTCGGCCTTGACAGCATTCTCAGCAGCAAAATATTTGTCGAGAAATCTGACTTCTGCTGATTGCCTTTCAACAGAGCTAACGTCGAACCGATTTAAATTAATCAGTTTGGGAAGCTTCGCAATCACTACCTAGGATAGGCACGCTGGTGATGTACGAATGGGGAAAATAGTGAATTGAGGTGTTTTTCAAAATTTTATTATAAAATTATGAGCAAAAACAGAGTCATATAAGCTTCGAACAGACACTCATTTTTTTCTGTAGAGAAACGCACTTCATGAGTATCAATCCCTGCAACACAGCTTAAATTTTCGCAATCCATATAGAGAACAGATAAGTTCGGCAATTTCTGCAGCTCATTTATCGAATTCCACTAGAACAGTCAAATCATTACGTGGATATGATTAACCACACACATTAGATCCATTCATAAGAAAAGTTAGACATTTCAAAAAACATGAAAATACTTACATCTGATATGAGGTTGTCCTTAATATTTAAAATACTAAGGTTAGGGAAACGTCCCTCAATGTCGCAGATTTTTTCTAAGCCGCATCCAGCAACGCTTAATTTCTCCAACCTATGATAGAATTATGACGTTTATTCTAAAAAAGTTTAAGGTAACAATACCTGCTAAGATTTCCTGAAACGTTTGAGAAACATCGAATGGGGTTACTTCCGAGATCAAGTGTGGTGATATTCCCTACTGAGTCGGGAACATGGAAGGTGGTAAAACGATTGCCGACGGCAAAAATACCCCGCAGCTTAGGCAAGAATTGTAAAATATTGGCTACCTAAAGGGAAGCACAGTATAACACCGAAA